AAAAAAACAAAAAAAAAAAAAAAACCCAAAAAAATCAAAACAAAAAAAGAACAAAAGAAAAGAAATGAGGCTAAAGAGTCCAAAATGAAAAGAATCAAAATCAACGAAAGGTAGAAGTAGGCTGTTAGCTTGACTGTTGAGTTCTGTTGCTGCATTTTAAATGCCCAACTGTATATAGTTTGATCTTTTTTTTATTGAGTCCTGACTCTTTTGTATGTTTTTGGTTCTAGGGGAAGCACCAAAGAGAATTTCAATTTTATTCTTAAGGTCCTATGGAAACAGTATCTTTCTCTTATTTCTCTTGCTAGGTGTGTGTGTGTGTGTGTGTGTGTGTGTGTGTGTGTGTGTGTGTGTGCAGACCCTCAGAGCAGCATGAGGAGGCCTTGCCAGACATCTTTGACCTTGCCATTGAAGGCTTCTTCCATCACTCCCGATAGCACAGATTTTCATTTTTTAAGCCATACGTTTCTGGCAGATGCCTATACCCTCTGCATTTCTGGGACAATTGCTGACGCCATCACTGGGCCTCCTTCCTGTACCTTAGGCAGTTGAGGGAGGGATGAGTGCCAACAGCGCTGCGCGTACCTCTCAGGGATTAACAGCCTGGAGTGCCTGCCTGGCACTAGACCCAGCTCACAGCTGGGTATTTATACTGAAGAGGTTGGTCTCTTACCCAAACGGAAAGCCAAACTGTGGGGACTGTTTCTGGCCTAGATTCAAGGAAAGACACATTCCAAAAGCCCCAGGATGTAAGGAATACCCTGCCCCCTGATCCAGTACCTGCTCTGCCTAGAATTACAGCTGGATTCCTTTTGCTTTGGGCCTTCAAAGGTATATAGTACTTTTAAAGGCAAATTCCTCTGGGCTATGGTCTATTGAAGCACTTAGGTCTGGGAAATGGGACTGAGAATGAGGATGAAGAAAGAGTGAAGAGGACATTGCAGGTAGAAAGTTTTCACAAGGAGTCTTTCTTTAAGGCAGTCCTGGTGTTACCTTTTACAGCCACTATAGAAACTGGGCAATCAGAGTCTAGGAAAGGCAGAAGAGAAAGCTTTTGGTAGCTTCTGCTCCTTTTCACTTCGCTCCCTCAAGAGGGTGAGTCTCTTATTTAGCATCGCCAACATCCACAGGCCTCTTAACTTTGGAGCTGGAGTCCAGCAGGCTCGACTCTGAGGCCAAGCCTTACAGATCCAGATAAACATACTACATGTGAACTGAAGGTACCTTTTAGAGGTTTGACTACCATTTCCCTTGTTTTGAAAAGGTGCTTTAAAAGCAAAAGTAATGCTGTTCGTGTTAAAAAAAAATTCTCTATGAAGTAGGAGCTGTAGAAACTTCTCTATTAAATCTGATTAAGAGGCCTACATCATTGACACAAAGCATCACTTGAGATATCTGTCCCAGGTCAGTTCATGAGGATCCCCCGGTAGCAGAGTTCACAAGGGTGAGCATGGGGATGCTACCTAAACATGAAGTTCCAAACTGATTTTGACCTTGGTGACCAGTGGCACTGTGGTGG